TTTAAAGTGGTTGGGATAGATATACAGTTACATTCTCTTAATGAATAGAATGATTTGTTCTAATGGTGTTTGTAAATAGGATCTCAGGTCCGCATCTTGTACAGCAATTAACCACTAAGAAGAATATATGCAGTGTGTTGGTTATTGAAACTGTCCTACCGATTTGATTTGAAACTGTCTCATTGCTATCTGTTTATCAATAAAATTATGGAAAAAAAGTAAAAATATTCAATAAAATATGCTATTATACTTAAAAAACAAAAGATCAGAGCTAATCTTGTCCAGTCAGGTGGAGCAGAGTGTGGGCTTCCGGCTCTAGATGAATGTCCGTTCTCCAGGTTTCTGCGGTCCCTGCATAGTTCGTTGCTCTGCTTTTGTTATCCAGGGTCATCCATGTGCGTTTGCCTCTGGGTCACTGTAGTCCTTCTGTGGCAGGCTCAGTCCTGGCCCCTGTGTTAGTTTTGTATCGTGACGAAACACCTGACGGAAATCCACTTAAAGGAAGAAAAATTTCTTTTGATTCACAGTTTCAGTACATGGTTATCTAGGTTACTTTTCTTTCATTGCTGGGACAAAATACTCAACACTCAAATTTAAGGAAGGAAAGATTTATTTAGCTCCCAGTTTGAGGAGGTTTCAGTCCATACTCGGCTGGCTCCAATGCAGAGCGGCATGTGGCAGAGGGCTGCCGCTCATGGTGGTGGAAAACAGCAAAGAGCAAAGGGAGGAGCAGCAGCAGAGGCTGCTAGCAAGCCTCTCTCTCCTCCTTGCATTTGTATGCAGATTATCTGCCCCAGGGCAGGGGTAGAACTCACATCCATAATCCCAGCATTGGACCATGAATTAATCACAAACTCTAGAAGCCCACGCCAGTGACTGCACAAGGCTTTGGGGGCACAACTAGCCACAAACCATAAGAATGGTCCCTTGGCTCTGCTGCCTTTGGGCCTGTGGTAAGGAGAATGTCACGGTAGAGAGTGTGTGGTGAAGCAAAACCACTCTCCTCGTGGCAGTCAGAGAGAGAGAGAGAGAGAGAGAGAGAGAGAGAGAGAGAGAGAGAGAGAAACAGGTAGGAGAGAGCTACCTCCTCCAACTAGAAACTACTTTTAAAAAAATGTATTTAGTACACGGTCTACAGGGTCACACTACACAGATTGGACTTGTAGTGATCCTTCCTGTTTTTCAGCCTCACAAGGGCTGGGATTACAGGCGTGTGCCACTATGCCCAGTCTCAATTGCCTTCTCAGCGTGCCCCCAGGGGGCAGGGCCAGCATGGCAGTCCAGGGATCGAACCCCCAGTCCCTGTGTCTGCCTAAGCAGGCGCTCTAATCCACTGAGCTATCTGGATGGCCCTAGAAACTACTTCTTAAAGTTTCCATCCCCTCTCTCTAGTCCATGAAGTTATGAATCCATAGATGGATTAATCTACTCCTGAGGGGTCAGAGCCCTCAAGATACAGTTACCTCCTAACTTCAGATCCTGCTGCCTTGGTGACCAAGCCTTTAATACATGGAGTTTTGGGTGTACATTAAAGATCCAAACCATAATAGTCTCCAAAGACACTGAGGTCCTTTTCCCTAGAATCTGTGAATGCTAACTTAAGTGGAGAAAAGGTGTTTGCAGAAGTGACCAGTGGTAGATCTTGAGATAGGGGGTTAACCTTGATTGCCACATTTATCCTGGATAGCTGAAGCAAGATGCTTTGCTGCTGGCTTTGAAGGTGGAAGAAGGGGCCACAGCCAAGGAGTGCAAGAGATGGTGTCTCAGAAGCAGGAAGGGACAAGGAAGCAGAATCTTCTCTGGAGCCTCTGGAGGGAGCCTGGCACTGCCACCACCTTGGCTTCAGTCCAGCAAAACTGATTTTGGACTTTGGATGCACAGAATTATCAGAGAATAACTGTATGCTGTTCAAAGCTGCTTAATTTGTTACAGCAGCAATCAAGGACAATTATACTTTCTAGCCCTGTCCCTGAGGACAGGTGAATTAATCTCTCATTTTATTCCCTACCCTCACCACCTTCTTGAGAGTCACTTGACCCTGAAATCAAGAAGTTCTTGTATTTCTGCTGCTGAAGGAAGATGAGGGAAATGGGAGGCACTTGGGGGGTAGGATGATGGCCATATGTCGGAAGAAGCAGCTCAACTGGGGTTTCTGGGGGGATGAACCCCATGTGGACAGTTGGTGGAGAAGAGCCTGTAAGCATGGGGGATGCTAAGACTGAATTCCTAGAGTCCTTCTCCTATGGATATTCTAGTCTGGTGCTGAATCCCTTCTCCCTCCTCTGTCTCTTCCATTTCATGTGGAAATCCAGCTTGTCACTACGCTCTCCACCCCCTATCAGGAGTTGAGAATGTGGCTCAATGGGGTTCTCAGTTAGAGAATCCTCTGGGAGAGGGGGTTCTCATAATAGACTGGGTGCCAGGATCACCTTGGAGAGCTGTTAAACCACAGATCACTGGGGTCGCCCCACAGTTTCTGATTCCGCAGTCTGCCTTGAGAATTTGTGTTTCAAGGGAGTCTCCATATGTGGCTGGTCCAGAGGCAACACTCTGAGAATCTTTGCTCTGGATATTTGAATCCCAGAAGAAGAAAGCCAGACAGGGAGCTCATCCTACAGAGATGGGTCATGAGTCCCTGTTCCTGCTTCATGGAATCCATGCGTTGGACCTACTTCGTGGCATTCCAAAAGTCTGGTCACTTCCTTTTCAGTTTAACTTTCTGAGCCATCCCTTGGGTTCTATTCCTTTTCCTGAAGGTAGCATGGTTTATTTATTTATTTATTTATTTATTTACTTACTTACAGTATCGGGGATTGAACTCAGGATCCCGCACTTGCCAGGCAAGCACTTATTCTACTGAGCTATCTCCCTGGCCACAGTAGCATGATTTAGTTTCCGTTGCTTGCAACCCAAGAACCTGAATGGATTGAGTTTGCAAAGAACACGCTTAATACGGACGCCAGATTGACAGAGCCCAAATTGAACACAATGTTTTATCTCCCAATACTCCTAGTATGGATAATATCCATCACTTATTGACCGCTTAATGTGTGCTTTATGGATGCTAGGAATTTTTTTTTAAAAGATGACAGGCCTTTTTTTAATTATTATTTATTTATTTTTATTACATTTATTTATTGTGTGTGTATGTGGCCAGCTCAGCCCACCAGGGGGCGGGCTGGCTGGCATGTGGTGCTGGGGGATTGAACCGCGGTCCCTGTGCTTTGCCAAGCTTGTTTCAAGTAGGTGCTTTAGACCACTGAGCCATCTCTCCAGCCCAGATGCTAGGAATTTTATAAGCACTTTCTCAGCCTTTTTCAAGGAATACATTTTTATTTTCATCTAAGGGATGGAGGCCCAGACATTTACTCGGGGGAAGTCGAGAAGAATGAGAAAAGGACAATATTTTCCTTCCTTTCTCTGTTTTTCCCATCTGCTCTGAGTGACTAATGGTGCCACAGGCTGCCCTTGCTGTCCTTGTAAAAATCCTTTTAAAGGGGTGAGAGGAAGTACCATACTTGAGCAGCATAAATTGTTTAAAAATCTGCAGTTTACTTTGTGACTGAGACATTTGATGCTTTATAAATTCTGGAGATATTAGCAGGACTATAAATTTGGCTTTTGATTTATAAGTAATAAAGCAAGTTTGAGTGACCCTGGGGCTCCACATGGAGGTCATATAGGGTGAAGCAGGTTAGGTGGATGTTTGCAAGGGAAAAGAGCTCATTACTGATATTTCTAAGGATACCTAATTGGCCAGGGATTTGGCTCACTGGTGCAATGCCTGCCTGGCAAATTTTGAGGTTCTGATTTGATTCTTGGTACAAAAAAAACCCAAAAACAAACAAACAAACAAACAAACAAAAACAACAACAAAAAAAAAACCCACTGTACTTAATTGGCAGCAGACACTGAACAACGGTGCCACAGTTCTGAGTTATTCTGTGACTATGGGCCCTGATGACCACAAGCTGATCAGGAATGTGAGTGACTGAAGATATGGCTGCGGCCGCAGATGCTTTATGAGACCTCCAAGTTGACCAGGACATGATCTGAGGTAGCCGTAACTTGCAATGGAGCTGCTTGATGGCGCCATGGATAGGGGGTTTTCAACTTTGTGAAGAAAATGGTGGGGAGGGGGCTGGTGAGATAGCTCAGCGGATTAAGTACCTGCTTAGGCAAGCTCAGGCAAACTTAGGCAAGCTCAGGGACCACGGTTCGATCCCGGCACCGCCTGTCGTACCAGCCCTGTCCCCACGACATGCTGAGCCAGCCACAGAGTCCAGACATAGTGGCACATGCCTGTAATCCCAGCACTGGGGAGGCTGAAAACAGGAGGATCACTGTGAGTCCGAGCAGCATAGAGGGACCCTGTAACAACCAATTACATTAAAAAAGAAAGAAAAGAAAATGATGGGGACACATCTGCACTAAGAGAAAACGAGAAGAGCAGAACTACGTCCAGACACCCAGGAGGAAGGCAGAGGCCCTCTGTTATGCATAATAAAACCTTTATAGGAAAAATTTATTTATTTTAGAATGACTGTTGCAGTCCTAACAATCCCTCCTGTTAGTTGTACGGTGTGTATCTTGCTTTTTGCCTCAGGGCATCTCCATTGGCCTTATATGGAGGGAACCCGTTTATTTATACCAACCCATGTATTTATACCAATCCTGGTATGGGAAGTTGTTAAAACTCCAATCCTGGTATGGGAAGTTGTTAAAACTCCAATCTAACCTTTCTCCAATGAGTTAAGAGAGCAGTGGTTAAATGTTTCCCTTTTCTAGCTCCTGGAAAACACTCTTTTTTTGGTACCAGGGATTGAACTCAGGACCTTGTGCTTGGCCAGGCTGGTACTTATGCCTGCTGAGCTATCTCCCAGGCCCTGGAAAACACTTGAGCTTCCACTTTAAGGCTTTTCAGAAGGTCTTAGTGGGATAAAGCATTTGTGCTCAGTGTATGACACACACGTGTAATCCCAGCTCCTCTGGAGGCTGAAGCAGGGAGATTGACTATCTGAAGTCAGCCTGGGAATTTTTTTTAAAGAATGCCTTTTTCTAAATGTATTCGGAACAGAGTCTACAGGTTCTCATTACACAGATCAGAATAGTAATGATCCTCCTGTTTTCAGCCTCCCAAATGCTGGAATTACAGGCGTCAGCGCACCCCCCCCCACTGGGTCAGCAGCACAGCATTCTGAGATTGAACCCCGGTGCCTGCGTCTGCCTACAGTAGGTGCTTTAATCTGCTGAGCTATCTGGCCGGTCCAAAGAATGCCTTTTGGATTAGCTATCTGTGCTAATCCATTTCCTCTTTCAGGTGCTCTATTCCCCAATCCTGGAATCACATTTCCAACTAACCAAGCCGCCTGCAAGCCCATGCCTCAGGATCTGTTTTCTAGAGGAATCTCAGCTAGGATAACACTGACTAGAAAAATGAAGGAAGCCTATTTTCCTTAAACCTAAGCAGTCTGTGGTACTGTGTTATTAGCAACAGAAAACAAACTAGTACATGTTATTTGGTGTATATCCTGATTTTTTAAAAACTTGCTATATTGTGAAAATCTTTTCATAGGATTAAATTTTCCTTTCCAATATATTTAGTAGGTGCACAATATTTCATTTACTCATTATGAGGTGTGACTGGGAAATATGGTGAATGTTTAATTTATAAAACAAATTTATGACAGTGAAACACGCAAAGCCATTTATTAATTAATTCCCTCTCAAAACACTCCCTTTCCCTTGGAACAAACACACTTTTCCCATCATTCTTGCCATCTCCCAAAGTAGTTCCGGAAGTCTTCTTTCATGAGTGTCTTTAACTGTCGTGGTTGGCTGGGTGTCTCTCGAACTGATTTTAAACATGACTTTTTCATGGTCCTTCTGACTTGGGGGAAAGAGCCCGAAGTCGCGCCTTGCGGAGACGGTGAATGAGGCGAGCGAGGACACACGGTGATGTTTTAGGAGCTGCCTTCTCCTCGCATGGCACCGGGCAGCAGCGTTGGCTGGATTTTTAAGAATCACAGGGGCTGGGGAGATGGCTCAGTGGAATAAGCGCTTCCCTGGCAAGTGCAAGAGCCTGAGTTCGATCCCCGGTTCTGCCAAAAAAAACAAACAAACAAAAACAAACAAAAAAGAATCACGCTTTGTGTCTTTGTGTCACATTCAGGAAAGAGGACTTCCAGATCCGCTTCGGAAAGTAGCCAGAGTGACGGGTACGCTTGCTCAGAGTGAGGGGCAGTATTTTGAAGGGGGCTCAGGCAACGTGTCCTTTATGGTAATGGCTTTTTAAAGATGAAACATTCACCAGATAGTTCGATGGAGCCGTTCGACGCATGTTTGTTGAAGGAAGGAGCCATCTGCGAGTGACAAGCCCAGACCCAGGACAGCCGAGAAGCCGGGCGCGGGTCCTCCGCCCGGCGGGCAGCTGGAGGGGCGGAGCCGGGGGCGTGGTCGCCCGCCCGGAACCCAAAACGCCGTCCTCTTGGTTTCCGGTCGCGGCGGACACTTCTCGCGGAGGGACCGCTCCGTGGCACCGGCGGCGGCGGCGGCGGGCACGGAGCGGAGGCGGACGCGGACGAGCCGGGGGAGAGCACGGAGCCGGCGGGTCACCGGAGGCAGGAGGAGCTGGCGCAAGCCCAGGCGCTGAGGAAGCGGCGGCGGCCGCGAAGGCCCGAGGTGGCAGTCGGGGGCGACGAGCAGGCCTCCGGGTACCTGGCGCTGGCCCAGGGCCTCCTGGAGGGCGCAGGGAGGCCCCCCGCGGCGCGGGCGGCCAGGCCGGAAGCCTCGAGCCGCTCCCGCTCGCCTCCGGTCCGGGAAGGCGCGGGGGGCGGGGAGCCGCTGGTGGACCAGCTCATCCGCGACCTGGTGAGTGGCGGCCCCTGCTGCGCCGCCCTGCCCGGGCCGGCCCCCGCCCCCGGCGTGAACCCCCAGGAACCAGAGCGGAACTTTCTCTGCGGTGCAGGGGCGTGGGGGCACCTAGTCGCACCCGTGTCGGTACACGCCTTGGGGGCTCGACTGCTTTTCAACCGGGGGCAGTTTTCGTCCCGCAGGTTTGGCAGTGACTGCAGAGATTTTGGATGACTCAGTGGGGGTGTGTGTGTGTGCGGGCGGTCGCGCGCTGTCGGGCGTCCCAGGGGTCCAGGGATGCTCGGGAGCATCCCACGGGACAGAGCTACGAAAAGTTATCTACCCAAATGTTCGCCACCTAAGTCGGAGTGGGTTTGAGCCAATCCTGTTCCAGGATACCTACCAAAACTCTTCACAAAGGTTGACTTTGGAGAGGAGAGCCCAGACAACGCATAAAAAATTATCTTTTCTGCCCACGGTTCGTGTTAGTCTTTTCTGTTTGCATATATTCAGAAAATAAAGCGGGGGGGGGGAGAGGAGAAACTTTGGCTCCTTTGGGAGAGTAGCCTTAGGATAGTAGTTCTTATCTTTCACGGATTTTTCAGAGGAAGTTGGAAGCCTTTTCCATAAAAATAACCCCCTTCTCTAAGTGAGAAGAATCAACATTAGTTGACTAGATCCCTGACTCCCCCATTAAGAATTAGGAGAGAATCGCAGGCTTTACTGAGTTGGTTTTAATTAGTATTAAAGAAAATTTCTATAGCTTTCCAGTTGGGGATAACTCTGTATGTAGAAGTTGTTTAAAGAAGTAATGGCTTATTATTTTATATAACATGTAGTTGTCTTCAAATAGTAGCTTCCAAGTTGAGTGTCTTGTCGTGTGCTTGCCCTTATTTATTTTCATCCTTCATTTATTTGGCACAGGGTCTCACTACGCAGATCAGGCTCATTAGTGATCCTTCTGTCTCAGCCTCCCCAGTGCTGGGATTACAGACATGCGCCTCCAGGTCTGGTTTCGGTGGCCTGCTAGGTGTGGGACCGGCATGGTGTGTGGTACGCTGGGATCGAACCCGGGTCCATGTGCTTGCTAGGCAGGCGCTTAGACTACTGAGCTCCCTCCCTGGCCCTGTGGTCTCCCTTAGGTCTAACAACAGCCCATGTTGGTAGGTGCCCACATTGGTAGGCGTTAATTCCCCTTTGACATATGAACACACTTAGAAGATTGTTGTGATTTGCCCTATTATCCGGCTGATAAACTCTGGGCACTGAATTATTGAAGTTTAATCCAGATTTCTTTTTTTTCTTTTTTTCTCTGTCTCTGGCTTTATCTCTGTGTTTCTGTGTCTGTCTCTCTGTCTCCCTGTCTGTCTCTCTGTCTCCCTGTCTGTCCCTTGCCCTCTCTCTCTCCCTCTCCATGGCCTTGCTGTGTTGCTCAGGTTGACCTCAGACTGAGGATCCTCCTGCTTTGGGCTCCCAAGTAGGTGAGATAATAGGAACATACCGCATGCTCAGCTTGTATCTTCTGAATTTTGTATCTCACCAAGTGAAACTTGAGTTGGCATAAAAATCCCCTGAAACCTTGTCAAAGTATAGGTTCTGGAATTTCCTAGACCTGCTGCATCAGTTGCTGGGCAGAGGGCAGCATCCCGGTGTTTGGAAATTGAGATGTTGTTCTATACTGTATTCCTTTGGATCTTGAATCCTGAACCTCAAGGTTTTATAGCGGTAACATGCAGGCATTGACTTCAAAAATAGTGGAGAGATATAAGATATCCTAAACATGAAGCTAGGGGAAGATCGAGGGAGTATAGCAGGTCCAAGTTTTACATGTACAGTACTTGGAAAAAGCCGGCCCTCACTCCCAGGAATTCATGTTGCTGAGCTCTCTGCCCTTTCAGATTCACCACTTTCACTACTACCAGGCTCTACCATGAGCAGCATCCAACCTTGGAGCACAGCTGATTTGTGGTCCGACTGGGTATGGAGGCCCATCCATACTGCAGAGGGAGCACAAGTTCAAGGTCAACCTGGGCTTCATAATGAGATCGTGCTTTAGAACAAACCCACTGTCATCCCTGTCTCTCCATTAACCCAGGCTCTTTGGAGATAGCCACCTGAATGTTGTTGCATGTGTTTCTTTTTCCATAATTTTATTGATAAACAAATAGCAATGAGACAGTTTCAAATCAAATTGGTAGGACATTTTCAATGATTAACACATTGCATACATTCCTCCCAGAGGTTAATTGCTGTACAAGATGCGGAGAAGAATTTTTTTTTTTTTTTTTTTTGGCTCCGAATGACCTCAGGACAGGTTTGGCTGGCTTGAGTTGTGGGGATCTAACCACAGCAACCTGAGCCTGACTGCTTTGTTGAAGCAGCCACTTAAAGAACTGAGCTAAGGGGCAGGCCCCCCTTGTGTTTCTTTAGTTGGTATTGCTGATCCACAGTTGGTTGGTCCCCTTTTTTTATTCAGCTTTCTGGGTTGCAGAGTGGCAAGCACCCTACTCAGACTTGCTTAAAGGAATCCACAGTGGAATCATGTGTTATCATCAAGTGGAATCATCAAGTGTTAATTTATGTGGTTGAAAATTCTAAGTGCTGGTTCTTGTTTGGGTGCTTATGTGGTGTAACTGAAAGTCTTCTCTGGGTCCTGCTTTCCATTTGTTGTCTTCATTCACAGCAGGGTTCCCCTTCTTGGGGGACACAGTGGCTACCAACAACTGTACTCTTATGTTCTGTTAAGTTAGCAGCACAGGAGGAAGAGAACAGAGCTTGGGATTTGTGCAGCTAATTGCATGAACCTGCAGTCTTATTGGTCCAAACTAGGTCTTGTGACAGATTTTGAGTCAATCACTGATTCAAATTGTCTAGATTTGTACCCTGTCCCCATTCCTGGAGAGGTGTGGGGTGTGCCTCACTTAAGCCTTGTTGAATGAAAGTGAGAGTAGAAAGGTTTTCTAAAAGGGAGTGGGTATTAGGAAATGGCTACACTACAAGTGTCAATCTTAGGTGGCTGTTTGAAGCGGCACAGACTGGGAATATATTTCCTGCTCATTCAGCATATGCTGTAGATAGTTACAGATGTGCAAGGTGCCATTCCACTTACTATTTACTGCAGGAAACAGGATGGATATGCTTCCTGTCTTCAGTCTCTTGTTTCTTTTTAAAAAATTTATTTATTTCTTGCTTGAAAGAATGACATTAATGGAAGCAGGAAGGCTTTGTTACAGTTCTGGGTTCTGTAGTTGGTAGACTAGGTGCAGTTTCAGATGGCTGCTGACTCCTGACACTGTTGTGGTGAGCCTTCGCGTTGGCCACTTGGAATGGTTTCCCTTCGTCTTTGCTGTCCTTTGCCTTCCTTGGAAGGTTGAGCTTAAATTCCATCTTCTGTGTGTTAATTCTTCTTCTCTCTAGCCCCAGGTTTTCTTGTCTTAAATAAAAAGATTCAATTGTCAGTGCCATGTATTTTTTATAGTCAATGATTAGCAGGTCTCTGCTTGGGTGTATTTTGAAACAATCTATGGGAATACATATTAGAAAAACGTGTAACTTAGATCCTGTCTTCCCTGACATTCAGCAGTTTGAAGCTGCTAGCCTTCATTCATTTATTTCAGTGTTCTCAGTATGAAGAGGCACTCTTCTTGGCACTGGGAGTACAGCAGTGAACAAGAGAAAAAAATCTGTGCTCCTTTTGTAATTTACATTCTAGTGGAGCAGGAGACAATGGACAGATAATTGCCAGATAACAAACAGTCTGGAGAAAAGGCAGGTAGAAGGGATAGAGTGTGTGTGTGCCACAGGAGGGGTTGCAGTTCCAATAGTGCTCTCCAGCAGGGCTTATCTGGGCAGGTCACATTTCAGGGAGTGGGGAGGGGACCCACAACGGAGAACAGCAGCATGCACAGGTTCCTTGGTGCCAAGGGCAGCAGCCTGTAGGCATGCAACTTGAGGGGTCACAGGAGGAACCTCTGCTCTGGTTTTATACTGTTGTGTTTAAATTCTTAATCGTTTTTGCCCAAGGGTCTTCCCCTCCCTTTTTTTTTTTTTTTTTTTTTTTTTTTTTTTTTTTTTTCACACTGGGCCCTAGAAATTATATAGCCAATCCTGATGGTGGGATTGTGTTTGGAGTGTTCCAAACTTTTGTCCAAGTAAATCCCACCCTGCATAGTAACCCCTTGGGGACCCGAAGCTTCTGACTAGTAAGGATCATCTTCCTACTGTCCTTTCTGTGTTCTAAAGCTCTGATCCTATGGACCAGGGTTTGAACTCAGGCCCTTACCCTTGCCAGGCAAGCGCTTATTTTACTGAGCCATCTCTCCAGCCCCCTGCCAATGGAGCTTTGAAAGAAGAGGTCCTGCTTGTTTTGCTCCACACTGACTTCACAGTCACACTCAGCCTCCAGTGCTCCCCCAGCACTAGTCCCCCAGACCAGGGGAGGTGGACCTACAGCACTCATGCTACAGTGGGCTCTTGGTATCATTGAAAGCTCTAAAAGGTTCCCCATCACTTCTAGTCCTTTAGGTTGGCATTTTCTACCTCCCTTCCTTGCCTGAGTTCCTAGGAAACTGAAACCAGTAAGTGGTGAGTGAGAATTTGCCTCCAACTTGGAAAGCCTATTCCTGTAAACAAACAAAAACTTTAGATACATAAGCTGGGCATGGTGGTACACACCTGTGAATGTACAATCCCAGCTCTTTGGAAAGCGGAGAAAAGAAAATCACACGTTCAAAGAGAAAATAAAGAAGCTGGCAAAATAGTTCAGCAGTCTAAAGCACCTGCTTAGGCAACCTCAGGGACCGCAGTCCGATCCTGGCACCACATGCCTTGCCAACCCTGCCCCCAGGGCAGGCTGAGCTGGGTGGGGGGAGGGGGGATAAAAAGGACTGGGGTTATATAACTCTGTGCTCTCTGGGTTCAATCCCCAGTCTCTGTCTCTGTGTCTGTGTCTGTCTGTCTGTCCGTCTGTCTTGTCTGTCTGTCTGTCTGTCTCTCTCACACACACACACATAAATCAA